GAATCCAGGGATGCCCAAGGTGGTCGTGGGTTATTAACGAGCCCAGAGCAGGCCCTGGAGACGTCGTCCACATGGTGCGGCGCCCATGCCTGCCGTGTGCACCCGCCTCACGGCCTCACACAGCCAGCAGAAGGAGCCGTGTGCGTCCTTCGTGCAGCATCTGGACGCTAGGTGCTGCTGTTGCCCACGGCTCGGAAGGCGGGAGCAGCTCAGGCAGAGTGCGTCATCAGTGGCTCAGAATCCAAGCAAACCGGAGCTCAAACTATCTGGGATTTTGCGGGGCTTGATTGCCGAGTCAGTGGCTGCTTCTTTAGACTGTGGCACTGCGGAGCGACGGAAGGGCGTTGCTTCACTGCACAGCTTTTCACGGTGGCTCCGAGGAGGCGAGCCACCAAATCGGCTGGCTCAGGGCCGGTGTGTCACAGTCCCGCTCTCTGTCTGCTGCCATGATGAGGCAGAAGCCAGAGGAGGGTGCTGACTGATCCCAGAAAATTTGCAACTCGGTGGCGGCACTGAGACCAGATCTCAGAAACTGACATCCACAGTTGCCTCTTGGGTGCTCAGGGCAAGAAAGGTTCTGGCGATGGAGCAGAGCAGGATGGCAGATTGTGGAGGAGCTGTGTGAGCAGAGAGCAAGTTAAGTTCAAACGTTTGAGCTGGGGAATTGTAAAACTGAAAATAATACCCAGCTGGAAGGTTGAAACCGACGTCAACAGGGCAAGATACTATGTGCAGCTTTCGCAAGACTACAAGAGAGTACAATTGCCGTCAAAATGGCTGATGAACAGCAAAGGACAACAAGCCTCCCTGGAGTTCTGAGATGCCCAGTGCCAGGGCTTGAACGGCATGCCAGGAATTTGGGCTGGACTACCTGCCCTGTCAGTCTATTTGGGAACCTGGTGAAAGTGTTTGCATGAGCAGCAATCGTTGTCAGGTAAACACAGCAGCTCTGGACAAAGCGGATTCAGGTGACTGGGGAACAACACTCCAGTGAAGTTTGTAAATATTTTCTGCAGGTGCAAAGTTGGAAAAGTGATGGCGGATTTTGAACAATGCAAACACTTCACACTGGAAAAAGAGGATCTGTGCAGCTGGACTTCCAATACTGTGTGCCTAACGAAGGCTAATGGGAATGCAAGTGCTCACAGTGGTAAAATCGCTAACAAATTTCTGGAGTTCATCCTTGTTGGGACCCCTGTAGGTCTGATGAAGCTGAAAGACTGACAGAAATGGCAGTGTGAGACGCCACCCCCAGGGCCGTGCCTTGACTGACCAACTCGATTCCAGCTCTTCTGCCCCGGAATCTCTCTTTCGGATCCCTTTCTTGCAGTGTGCCCACTCTGAAGCTGGCAGCAGAGTGTCCGGGGAGAGCGCTTTGCCAGTTGGTTCTGGACATGGTGGCCTCTCTGGAAGCTGAGGACCTGCAGTTCCCTGATGAAGACCATGGACAGCAATGATGTGAAGTAATGACACCTGAAGCATGCACTAATTCACCGAGAACAGCTTTTGCAATCGCTGCCTGTTCAGGAAGGAAACAGCCAAGGCCGGAGAGCAGCCTTCACCCAAACTCAGACCCAAACCCAAACCTTCAGGTCAGTAATGAGCCTCTTTCTCCCTTATCTGCCTTAATTGCCCCGCAGGCATTCATTCTGAGCTGGTCTCACTGGACTCGGTGGGCCCCTGGGACCGAGCTGCCATTCCCTCCCAGGTCGCCTGAGGCCAGCTGGTCTTGAGAGCTGCTTGCCAGCCTCCGCTCCCCATTCCAGTGCTTCAGGGCACCCGTCCCTACCGGCCCTCCAGATGCCTCCCTTCTCCTCTCCATCCTGCAGTGCTCACGCAGCACTGGTGGAAACGTAGCAACGGCCAGTGCTGGGGCGCCCATCCGAAGGTCCAACTGCTGGCCAAGGCAAGGCAGGTGAAAGAAGGACTCTTCCCCACCCCGTCATGAACGGGAGCCTGATGTTCGGCTCTTGGCTGGAAGGGCAGGCCTCAGACGGGGCCTGCTGCCAGTGGAGTGGCTTCCCATGCCTGCCCACCCCCGTGCCAGCAACATGCCAAGGAGGGTGTTTGTGCAAGACCTGGACTGGGCAGCCTGCATTCCAGCATGGCTGCCTGCCGCCACCACCACCGTGCTTCCTCGTCATTGCTGCCAGATGCCTGCTTTCAGGGAAGAGGCGAGCAAGGGAACAGGCTGCAACCTCCCCGTCCATCCAAGAGGCTGGTGAGCAAGCGGGATGCCCTGAGAGCGGAGGAGCCCCTCCAGGCGCCGTGCTGTGAGCCCACTGCCCTCTCGCACCTGGAGGAGATTTTCCAGCAGCAGCTGCATGACTCTTTAAGGCATTTCATGCAATTTAAAGTGACTTGAGAAATGCAGCTCTCCCCATTTGCATGGAGGAGTCACTTGGAGCTGTGTTCAAAATACGACCCAGAGCTGATCAAACGGCTGTCGTCTCCAAGCGTAACCTACTTCACGGGGATGTTGTGAGGAAAGGGGTGATAGGGAGAAGAAGCACCTATGCTGCGAATGCTTTTGATGTTTATCTCTTTTAGTATGTGCAGGCCAGTGCAAAGAAATAGAAGAGAGCAACCAAACAGGAAAAGCAAGAAGCCTCTTCCAGAAGATCTAAGGAATCAAAGGGAAATGCAAATCTAGAGCTGGAATGCCAAAACGCAGCAAGGGAACGTACTATCCGTACTGTCCGACAAAAGAAAATAAAGAGAAGGTCGAAACAATGTGCTGAAGAACTGTACAGAAGAGGTGAAAGGAGGGCAGACTTTTTTGAAGCAGAAATCTGTGGAACAGAGCTTGAGAAGTTGGAAAGCGAGTGAACATATCTCTGGAATCACTTGGAAGGAACAAAGTACCCAGAGTAAGAAGGATTCCATTGCCGCTATTCCAAGCTGCAGAGACAAGAACATGCCAGCAAAAGTGGGAAACGAAATAATGGTCCACAGACTGGAAATGTTCAATAGATTTTCCACTCCCCAAGAGGGTGCAGCAACCATAAGACTGTTGCAAGAAAATTTTCCACACAAGCTCAAAGTGTTGCAACAAGAGGTCTAAGCTGGATTCCCAAAAGGAAGAGGCATTTGAGAACCTATTGCAAATATGCATTATTTCAGGAGAATTTCAGGAAAGATTTTCAGGAAAAGATCAGCCCGTGCTTTATACACTACGGTAAATCCTTCGACCGTGCAGATCATGAGAAACCATGGATGGTCCTGAAAGAGGTGGGACCGCTTCAGCACTTGGTTGTCCTGATGCGCAGCCTCCTGCATCATGGAGAAGAAACTACCATTAGGGCAGGATACAGAGAAAGGAAAAGGTTTCCCACAGGCAAAGGGTTAGGGTTAGGGTTAGGACAAGGAGGCATTTTATCAGACAAGGAGGCATTTTATCTCCCTGTCTGTTCAATCTGCATGCAGATCATACGAATGCAAATCGCAAGGAAAGCTGGATTAGAACCAGCGGAAGGAGTGAAAATTGGTGGAAGGCACAGCAGTCATTTCTGCAGATGATACCTTGTTTCTGGCAGAAAGCAGCTGTGATGTGAAATGACTCCTGATGAAAGCGAAAGAAGAAAGTACAAAAGCTGAATATCAAGAAACAAAAACCAGATCCACAGAAGAACTGCAGAACTTTATTGTTAATAACAAAGAAATAGAAATTGCAAAAGGTTTCGTACACCTTGGCTCAGCCATCAGTTCAAAGGGAGAGTGCAGTCAAGGAACTGGAAGAAGACTGAGACTTGGGAGGGCAGCAGTGAAGGAACTAGAAAAGATCGTCAAGTGTAAGGACATTTTACTGGAGAACAAGGTCAAGACCATCCAAACGATCGCAGCCTTGACCATAGTGTACGGGCATAAAAGCTGGACAGTGAAGAAAGCCGATGGGAAGACAATTGATGCCATCAAGCATGTTGCTTTGCAAATACCCTGGACTGCCCGAAAAATGAACAAGTGGTTCCTAGATCAAATCATGCCAGAGCCTTCCCTAGAAGCCAAAACGGCAAAGCTGAGGCTGTCCTACTTGAGCACATCATGAGAAGGCCACTCACTGGGGAAGACAATCACAGCGGGGAAAGTTGAGGTCAGAAGACAAAAGAGAAGATCAAAAATGATATGGATTGAATCCATAAAGAGAGCTGCAGTTCTGAACTCAGAAGAGCTGAAAGATGCTTTCATGGAGAGGACATTTTGAAGGGCTTCCATTCTTGGGGTCGCTATAAGTTGGAGATGACTTGATGTGCAAACCTTGTTTTTTCTTATTGACCAATAATGGAAAATGCAAGATGTAGTTTTGACCTGGAGCAATGCAGCCTCACACCTGCTCATTGGCCAAAGAAACCTTTAGCCCAAGTGCTAGGCCTTTCTCTTTGGATACTGTCCAAGTCACGTGTATGACTATTTTTCATGCCAGTCACCCAGGATTCATAGCAAACCTACACACGACTTACTTTATCTTCACTTTAATGCAGTTACTGCTTTTTAGTTGTTTATATTTCCAAACTCTAATTTGGCTTTGACATTTCATAAAGAGACATTGCATCTTGCTTTAAGAAAGGTCAGTGAATCCTTCCACAAGGGCATTCACAGCAAATTCATAAAGCCGGCTGTTTCCCAAGAATCCAGAACAATATACGAGACTTTTTCAAATACAGTTTTCAATAAAGAATCATCATGATTAGCATTCATTTGAATGAGTCCCCATTCACATGAAGAATTGATGACATCAAGCACATTCCAGTGCTTTACAGGCGACAAAAGATGCCTGCATTTACGCATCTTGTCACGTGATGTCGCTCTCCGCTCAACTACCTCATGAAAAACAACCGGGGACCAGAAGTACTTCCCTTGCATTGTCATCAGAGACCATTTTCTCCTTGCAACTGGAGGCTCAAAGGGGATCGCAGGAGACATCTTTTAACATTTATTTTACAAGAACTGCCCCACCATTGCGAAATTATATGTACTAGTTCTGAGAGTTCTTGCTTGGGAAGACTCCTCCATGGGGAGGCGGCAGCTGCTGCAGCTGGCTCTGCTCCATGCAGCCTGGGGACTGGGGAGCGGCCAGCTCCGCTATTCTGTGCCGGAGGAGTCCCAGCACGGCGCCTTCGTGGGCCGCGTCGCCCAGGACCTGGGGCTGGAGATGGGGGAGCTGGTGCCGCGGATGCTCCGGATGGAGTCTGAGGATCACAGGGACTATTTTCAGGTAAATGAGCAGAATGGGATCCTCTTTGTGAATTCCCGGATAGACCGGGAGGAGCTGTGTGTGAAGAGCCCTGTCTGTATCGTTCATCTAGAAGTGATTGTGGATAAACCTTTGAGGGTGTTCCACGTGGAGGTGGAAATCAAGGACATAAATGACAATGCCCCCATTTTCCCAGCAAGTCAGCAGCATCTGAGTGTTGCAGAATCCATGCTGCCTGGTACACGCTTCCCTCTGAAGGGAGCCTCTGATGCAGATGTTGGTTCTAATGCTCAGCTCAAATACAAGCTTAGTTCTACAGAATATTTTGTTGTTGAAGAAAAAATAAATGACCAACACAGTGGATTGCTAGGGCTTGTTTTAAGTAAAAGTCTGGACAGAGAAAAAATATCAGTGCACCAATTATTTCTTACTGCTACCGATGAGGGTCAACCAAAACTCACCAGCACGGTCCATCTGGAGATCACTGTGATGGATGCAAATGATAACGCACCCCTTTTTGACCAGTCTGTTTATAAGGTGAAATTACTGGAGAATGTGCTGGAAGGAACTTTGATTATTACTCTCAACGCAACTGACAAAGATGAGGGAACGAATAAAGAAATCTCCTACTCTTTCAGTAATGACATTCTTTCCGATACGTTCAGCATAGATTCTGATACAGGTGAGATAAGGGTGAAAGGGAAAATGGATTTTGAAGATATTGATGCTTATAATATAGAAGTTGAGGCAAAGGACAATGGGAGCCCGCCGTTGTCCGGTCACTGCACGATCCTTATTGAAATACTGGACGTCAATGACAACGCCCCTGAGATGTCCTTGAAAGCCATGTTGCTCCCGGTGCCAGAGGACTCCCCGCTGGGGTCAGTGGTGGCCCTGGTCAGCCTCTCAGACCAGGACTCTGGATCCAACGGGCAGGTGAGCTGCTCCCTCTGGCCACTGGGACTTCCCTTCAAGCTGGTGTCCACCTTCAAAAATTACTATTCCTTGGTGCTGGCTGAGCCTGTGGATCGTGAGCAGGTGGCTGAATTTGGGCTGGCCATTGTGGCCCAGGACCAAGGCTCTCCATCGCTTTCTACAAGCAGCTCTCTGCTGGTGCCCATCAGCGACGTCAACGACAACGCCCCGGCCTTTGCCCAGCCCTCCTACGCGGTCTTCGTGCGGGAGAACAACCCGCCCGGCGCCCACATCTTCACGGTGTCCGCCTCGGACCCGGACCTGGCCGAGAACGCCCTGCTCAGCTACTGGATGGACGAGAAGCTCTGGCCGCTGGCCAGCTACGTCTCGGTGCACTCGGAGAGCGGGAAGCTCTATGCCCTGCAGTCCCTGGACTACGAGGAGCTGAAGCTGCTGGAGTTCCAGGTGAGCGCCAGGGACGCCGGGCTGCCCTCCCTGTGCAGCAACGTGACCATCCAGGTCTTCGTGGTGGATGAGAACGACAACCTGCCAGCTGTGACTGGGCCAAAGGAGGAGCCCCTTCTGCTGGTGCTTCCTGTCCTGGCGGGGCACACGGTGGGCAAGGTCCGTGCCCTGGATGCAGATGATGGCTACAATGCGTGGCTGTGCTATGAGCTTCATGAGCCGAGCCTGGGCCCTTGGCAAGTGGGCCTCTACAGCGGAGAGGTCAGCACCAGGCGGGCCCTGGAGGAGGCCGAGGGCGGCAGCAGCCAGACCCTGCTCGTCCTGGTGAAGGACCACGGGGTGCCCCCCCAGTCGGCCACAGCCACCCTGAGCATCTCCCTGGTGGTGAACCCCCAGGTGGTCCACCCTGACGCCCACCTTACCCGACGGGGAGGCAGTCCTGGAGCAGAAGTGGACCGTGTCGGTGTCTACCTGATTGTCGCCATCTGCTCGGTCTCCGCTCTGTTCCTGCTTGTGGTGCTTGTGTACGCTGCTCAGCGGTGCCAGAGCCAGGCCAAGGAGCCCGCGGCATATGGCCCCGGCACCGCCACGCTGGTGTGTGCCAGCGAGGTGGGCAGCTGGTCTTACTCCAACCGCCACAGCCACCTCCTGGCCGGGGTGAGTGGCGAGGCCGGAGCCAAGAGCGACCTCATGGTGTTCAGCCCCAATGTGCCTGCCTTTGGCCCAGAGAACGGGGGTGCGACAAATGTGGTGGCACTAGTCCCTGGTGCATCTGGACAGGTGAGTCCCCATTAATCCTCCTTTACATTCAGCACATGATGCTGCGGTCTTGAGCACCGCACACAGTTTGAATCCTCACTGGTGGATAATAACATCATCTCAGTTTGTAAAAATATTTTAAATAGGAGTTTGTTTTGTTTCTCCCTTTGATACAGAAAGGGAGTGTTGCTTTGGCTGATGGGAGAAGGTTGTAAATTTCCCAGGTGAGTAGCAAATTCCCACACAGTGTGTAACCTGATGAAATCATTTGAAGTATCACAGACAGATAAAATATGATAGACAGAAGGATAGATTTGACTAGGAAATCCTGGAAAAGGTGGTTGAAAGCCTCACCCGAGGCAGCAGCAATACTCTCCGCAATACCTGGACTCCAGGTGCTTGCAGCTGGGGAGGGGGGGCATTCTGGCCTGCAGCATGGAGGGCCTGCTCAGTGCTGGGGGTGGGGCATGAAGGGGGGCCCTAAAGCGAGCCACTTCGCAAGAGCAGGTTGTTAGTTCCCTGGAAGACAGAAGCAGGATCCAAGGTGACATTGGTTGGTTGAAGCACTGAGCTGAAAATGGCAGAATGGAAGTTAATGGGGAGAACATGCCAAGTTCTGCACCTAAGAATAAGTACAAAATGCATCATTACAAGGTGGGGGATACTTTGCTCCACTGTCCTGCAAATGAGAAGGATCTTGGAATTGCTGTAGATCACAAGCTGTATATGAGTCAACATGTAATGTGGCTGCTAAAAAGAAAAGAAAAAAACCCACAAATTATTTGGCTACATTAATAGAACGATCATGTCCAAATCACATGAAATTCTATTTTTATTATTATTTTTATTTTCTTAACATAAACAGAGTACAGAAAGAAGAAAAGTATATATAAAGTAAAGTAAAATAGAGAATATCAGAATTGAAGAAAGGAGGGTGGCATCACAAAGTGCTGGGAGGCCAAGAGCTGGGACATCCAAAGCCAAGAATTGCAGAAAATTTTAAAGTTCATCTCACTCATCAGTAACACTCAGATTGCCTCTCCTCCACCCGCCCGGGTTTCTTCTTGTGAGGATAAGCAGGATTAACGTTTGTGTCGCCAGGTCAATATCATGAAGCAGATGAAGCTACCACATCCACTCCACAAGCAGCAGTCTAGAAGGTCTAGGCAAGTCCAGTTCTTCCGCCAGGCCTGGTCTGCAGGGCTCCCAGAGGCGCCCTCTGCTGGGTGTGTTGAAAATGACAACTGATGCTGCCCAAAGGGAGTCATCTGCTAACACTTAGGACAAGTGGAGAATACTAAACAAACTTTTCCTGCTCATTTAAATTGGCTGCAATACCAACTTGGTCTGTGCATTTTGTCAATAAATCCAGTTGTTTGTCTGAAGTATCGTTCATGTGGCTTGACATTCTGGATAATATACGCTGCCTCGGCTCACACCCTTGCTTTAGGCACTCAGCCAAGCTCCTCCAGAGTCCTGCTTCTCTGAATTCAGCAGGTGGTGGAGGCAGTGATCCGCTGGGCCACCTGTCGGCTTAATTCTGGCAATGATGGCGAGGCACAGAGAAGCCCGTGCGGGCTGGCTTTCCTTGGCCCTCAGAAGGTGCGCAGGTACAGGTGGTGGGGCAGCTGGGCTGGACTGCAGGAACCACAGCCCAGGCTCCCTCCAACTGGCCAGCCAGAGCACAGCGCCACAGAGGCAAGCGGGGCTCTCCCTGGTGCCATGGTTTAAGTGAGTTTAAAAGAAGCCTGCTTGCGGACCCCACACAATTATTCAGTCCAGAATCTAAAATGTCCTACTTGTAGTACTGGTCAGGGCATTCTGAAGTATCCCAAGCTACACCATGGACAGCAAAGTAGATCTGCTGGCAATACAGGGAGAGTATATGCAAGAATGACCCGATCGCAGCTTCTGTATGGAATGGGGACTAAAGAGTTAAGCTGAAGGCTTTGTGGAGGAGGTGGATTTGGAGGAGAGATTTGACAGAGGCACCAAAGAGGCTACTTTTGGAATTATTGTCCTAGGGACTAAGAGGTGGCAACTTTAATGACCAACTGGATGGTGTCATTTAAAGGAAGACCTTCACAGTCAACAGTCAGGGATTATGAGCAAGAAGCAAAAGGTCTGAAAATAAGAACAGTAAAGAGGATGCAATTAAGTTACACACTCACAATATATTTCCCTAATTAGTGGAAAATGACTTGGTCATTGGCAACTGTACTGTGTAGTTTGGAACATGGCGTCAATGTTCCACTTTGTCTACAAAGGCCCTGCAGGTTATTTCCCTCACATCCTTCTGCCCCCAGTTTCCAATCTCCTTCTCTGGTCTCTGATGCTGAATGGCCTTCATTTGTGATGCATACACACACCTGCACATTTGCAGAACCTTTTGGAGAAGGCGGGTGACCTGGAACAAGCACTGCCGCACCAGAGTGCTTGCACATTTGAATGCATGTGTTTTTCATATATGTTGGATTACAACAAGGGTAAATATGAATGCTTTCCTTCAGATTCAAAGAAACATAAGTAAACAAGATGGATCCAAAACGCCAGAATAAGCAGAACCAACCCAATTACATAAATTGCACTTTTCAATCTCTTCACATAGTGTCGCTCTTTACTGTGAAATATCTCAAAGAGACTCAAAGGAGAGCTCCTCCATTTTAATTATCATCTGAATATAGGCAACACCTGGAACTGAAGAAGCACAACATCACAAAAGGCTGGCTAAAGTTTCCTGCCCCTAAAGGTGCAGGGCAAGACAGAGCAGAATTTCAAGGAAGGTAGCGAGACCAAGCCTCTGGAAAAAGGAAAGGAGGAAGGAGCTGTTTCAGTTTGGAATAAACTCTTCACATGGGCAGATGCTGCTCCTGCAGGTCGAAGGAACCCTTATGCTGATTCATGCAACTTGTTAACAGCACTCATAGAAGCAACGTATAACATGACGGATCCTGTTAAAGTACAATAAAGATCTGAGTTTTCATGCTGGTCTCCTGGGAAGGAAAAAAGGGCTTGGAGAAAGATAGTCACAGAACTTTGCAAGGTCTCCTCTTGCTCACTTTCTCCTCTCAACAGCACTGCGAGATTGGCTAGGTTGAGAGTCACTGACTGACCAAAACTTACCTGCTGAGCTTCATGGTCCCCAGTCAGTAGGACCAGAACGTGGATCTCCCAGTCCTACTATGCCACACTGGCCCCTATTAATCAGGAATTGTGGACAGATTTAAGAAGATAATCAGAAAATACTCATACACAGATCAAATAATCATTTGTTCCATGTACACTGCCTAGCAATATAAAAGACATGCTAACTGTAATCTATATGACAATATACTTAGATGATCAATTAGATAAATAATTAGATGAATAATTAGATCTTTGGTGCTGGATACAAAAATTTTAAAAAGCCTTTGATCCAACCGACTGGACTAATGTGAAACACACATAAAAAGGGATGTTGGTCAGGGCATCAATGCATTTTGCAGTCCACCAATTGTGCAAGTAGGGTCGATGGGCATTTCTTAGAACGGTTTCCAAGGCTGTCCCCTGTTCATTTGCTGCAAATCACCTTGGCAGAGCTATTGGCAGAGTTCTAACACCCAAGGCGTGAAACCGGAAAGGCTGTCGGCAATGCATGCCCTTTCCTTGCAGATGCGATGGCTAATTTGGGTAAAAATATCTACTTGTTTCTTCCTAAAATAAAGAAAGAAGTCACAGAGAGCCAAGTGTGGCTACAAAGTAGATTTTCAATAATCAAGGAATCAAAGAATATTTTTTAAACTAAACTGTCTTTCTCAAACTGTCATCAAATATGTGATGGAATGGTAGAAAAGGCAGTGCTTGTGTGAAGTGAAGCGGATCTTGTGGCAAAGTCTATTTTAATTGCAAACTCTTTGCCTAATTTACCTTCTGATAGTCAGAATCAGTTGGGATCCGAGGCAGAAGCAATCGGGTAACTTTATTTGGCAGAGTGTTAAACTGCACAGCTTGGTCTCTCCAGTTGCCTTTATAAAGGCTCCTTTTATCTTGGATACAAATATAATTCAGCTGCAAGCAGCAAAAATCACAGCTTATGGGTTGTGCAAGAACTTTGCAGATACTATGAAGAAGAAGAATGGGTGGAAATATGGGGAGTTGATTCCACACTGTGTCTGCAGCCAGCGAGAAGAGAGAGCCTTCTCTTTCAAGCGGCCTTTATGCTTTCACACCATTTAGACAGGTGCTTTTCTGCTCCTGTCCTTGTCAGACTTGCATGCAAGGTGGTCTGAGGGCGCTGCTGGAAGGGTGGTGGGGAATCATGTGGGCACGTGTGACTACTAACAGAGTCACTACTACTGCTACTACTTGGGTATGGCATTGGGGTGTTGAAAGTACTTCACAGGTATTATCTTTCATTCCTTAGAAGAATCTTGTATAATGGCCATTGTTACTATCTCAATACTAGTGGCCTTTATGGGGCCATCTGCTGAGTTCAGGACAGTGGTACGGCGCCGTGCTGCCCCATTGCTGGAGGCTTCTAGGGATGCCTGCAAAGGCCTCATTTGCTTTCGCATGCATTAACTGGGAATCAGTGCAGGGGGCAACCAGACTTCACTGTGACTTGTCACCGCTGTGCTGACGACATCTGTTTCTTGCTCTCACTCTCTTTTCTTTCCCATCCGAGAGAAGTTCTCATCCACCATCCCGGAGCTGTAATTAATCAGATGAGTGTGAAAAAGCACAGGATAAAACTTAATCCAGAGAAGTTTAAATATGTTGTCCATTGCCAGGGAATATTTCTGATCTGGAGTAATTGTGCAACCTGCTTTGAATAGGTTTGCAGTTACGGTTGCACAGGAAGAATGAGCCACTCTTGTTGGAAAAGTTAGGCAGGGCATCAGTCTGTTCTCTCCTGGTCCAAGACTCCTGTGGGGCATCCCAGCAGGCTGCCCCCATGGTTAGTGAGCTCCAGTTTGCTTACTGGGAGATGGTTCCTGTGCTTCTGCTTGTTGGCCTGAATTGGGCCAAAATGGGCCCTCAGCCAACCCAGAGCAGAGCCTGAGGGGTAAGGAGTGCTCCATAGTCTGGGGCAAAGAAACCTGATGCTCCTTCTTGGAGTGGAGCCATGCCGTCTTGCCAGAGCAGAATGCCTCCTTGTGGTCAAGAGTGAGGAATGCATGTGGTGGCTATTTTAGGGGCACTTCATCCACAAAACTCTGCAACTGTGCATGGTGGCGCCATTCCCGGACACATGTCAACATACTGAGTCAGGTGGACTTTTCAAGGTGTGAAGGAAAATGCATTCAATTGCAACGGAATTTTTATTCTATGGAATAAATTCAGTGAACCATTAATTCCGCTAACACACGTCAGAAAATGAGAGCACCAGCTTTCCCAAGCTTTCCATTTCTGCCACAAGGTGTCGCTGTTTAACAAGAAATAGTGTCAGAGGGCTGTGCAAGCCAACCCCTCCCTCCCTCCTTTGTGCAGACCTTTGCAGCAAATAGATGGACCTTCAGGGCTGCCTGACAGAGAACAGGGCTGGATGCCGAGATGACCAGGATATAAATCTCTACTTATATTCAAGGAAGAAGGACAAGCACACATCCTTTTGTGGCCATCTACAATGCAGACAAGGCAAGAAGGCTCTTTGGTGAGGAGGCAGCAGCTGCTGCAGCTGGCTCTGCTCCATGCAGCCTGGACACTGGGGAGCGGGCAGCTCCGCTATTCTGTGCCGGAGGAGTCCCAGCACGGCGCCTTCGTGGGCCGCATCGCCCAGGACCTGGGGCTGGAGGTGGGGGAGCTGGTGCCACGGATGTTCCGGATGGAGTCTGAGGATCACAGGGACTATTTTGAGGTAAATGTGCAGAATGGGATCCTCTTTGTGAATTCCCGGATAGACCGGGAGGAGCTATGTGTGAAGAGCCCTGTCTGTACCGTTCATCTAGAAGTGATTGTGGATAAACCTTTGAGGGTGTTCCACGTGGAGGTGGAAATCAAGGACATAAATGACAATGCCCCCATTTTCCCAGTGAATGTGCTAAATCTCTTTATATCTGAAGCAACAGCATATGGTTCGCGGTTCTCCTTGGAGAGTGCTTCAGATGCAGATATTGGGAAAAATTCCCTTATTGCATACCAGATCAACACGAACGAATACTTTGCCCTGGACACTCAGAGGAAGCACGGCAAAAGTACGTCCCCAGAGATCGTTTTGGAGAAGGCTCTGGACAGAGAGGATCTCTCCTCGCACCATTTGCTGCTCACAGCCACAGACGGGGGTCAGCCAGAACTCACAGGAACGCTGCAGGTGGCGATCACAGTGCTGGATGCTAATGACAACAGGCCTGTCTTTAATCACTCCGTGTATGAGGTGAGCTTACCAGAAAGTGCAGCAAATGGGACCCTTGTGGTGACGCTGGAGGCCACTGATCTCGATGAGGGCATTAACAAGGACATCGTCTATGGCTTCAAACCACCGTTAGCCTCAACGGTGGAAAGAACATTTGCAATTGACCGGAACACAGGGGAGGTAAGGCTGACAGGGAGACTGGACTTTGAAGAGGTCAATCTGTATGAAATTCAGGTGCAAGCCATCGACAAGGGCCATCCCCCTATGGGAGGAGATTGTAAACTTCTGATAGAAGTGCTGGATGTGAATGACAATGGCCCAGAGATGTCACTGAAATCGATTGCTGTGCCGGTCCCAGAGGACTCCCCACCAGGGACGGTGGTGGCCCTCATCAGTGTCTCCGACAAAGATGCTGGGGCCAATGGGCAGGTCAGCTGCTCCCTGTGGCCCCTTGGCCTTCCCTTCAAGCTACAGTCCACCTTCAAGAATTACTACTCTCTGGTGGTGGCCGAGCAGCTGGACCGGGAGCAGGTGGCAGAGTACAAGCTGCGTGTGACGGCCCAGGACCATGGGGCCCCATCGCTCTCGGCCACCAGTGAGCTGGTGTTGCCCCTCGGTGATGTCAACGACAATGCCCCCACCTTTGCCCAGCCCTCCTATGTGGTCTTCGTGCGGGAGAACAACCCGCCCGGCGCCCACATCTTCACGGTGTCCGCCTCAGACCCAGACCTGGCCGAGAACGCCCTGCTCAGCTACTGGATGGACGAGAAGCTCTGGCCTCTGGCCAGCTACATCTCGGTGCACTCGGAGAGCGGGAAGCTCTACGCCCTGCAGTCCCTG